GACGCCGCTCTCTTCAAGGTACCCCGGCCTCACCGGGACCTCCCCCACCAGCTCCGGGAGCATCCTCGGGACCCCCCACCCAGCTCCCTGCACACCCCCGGGGTTCCCCATTGCCTGGCGCTGTGCGCACCCCCGGGACCCCCTGCCCGGTTCCGTGCACACCCCCGGGGCTGCCCAGCTCCGTGTGCACCCCTAGGACCCCCAGCTTGGCTCCATGTGCACCCCCGGAATCCCCACTCAGCTCCACGCACATCCCTGGGACACCCTGCCCAGCTCCATGGGCACCCTCGGGGGACACCCCCCCCTCCCAGCTCGATGAGCACCCTCAGTGCTCCCTATTGCCCAGCTCCATGCACTCCCCCAGGACCCCACACCACCACCCAGTTCCCCTCAACCCCGCAGGGCACACAGCCCCGGCTCCCCACTGCCCCCCACCCAGCCCCGGTGGACTTGTACCCCAGCGGGCCCCCTTGGACAGTGGAGCGGGGTTCTGGGGGGACAGACAGCCCCTGCAGCACAGGGCACCCTCTGCCCGGCAGGCTTGGGCCATCTACAAGGGGAAATACCACGAAGGGACGGACAAGGCTGATCCCTCCACCTGGAAGACGCGTCTCCGCTGTGCCCTCAACAAGAGCACCGACTTCCAGGAGGTGCCTGAGCGGAGCCAGCTGGACATCTCAGAGCCCTACAAGGTGTACCAGATCGTGTCTGATGGAACCCGGGACGCAGGTATGTCCCTGCCATCCCTCCTCCTGTGCCAGACTTGGGGCTGATGCCTGCGCCGTGCCTGTAAGAGCCTTGTGTCCCACAGACATCACCCTTTGTAGTGGTTCAGCCCCAGCTGGCAACTAGGACTATGCAGCCGCTTATTTGCCCCCCCCCTCCTGGTAGGCAAGGGAGAAGAGGGGGAAAAAAAGAGGAAAAGACCTCGTGGATTGAGATAAAGACAGTTTAAGAGAACCGTAATGGAAGAGATAATAATAATAAAATATACAAAATAAGTGATGGAATACAATTGCTCACCACCTGGTGATCGATTGCCCAGCAAGTCCCGAGCAGCAATTGTGGATTCCTGCCCCCAGCCAATCCCCATTTATATTCTGAGCATGATGTTTATGGTATGGAGTATTCCTCTGGCCAGCTTGTCCTGTCTGTGCTCCCTCTCAGCTTCGATGGGAAACTGAAAAAGTCTTTGACTTATTGTAAGCATTACTTAGCAACTAAAGCAATGTGTATTATCAACATTATTCTCATACTGAATCCAAAACACAGCAGGAAGAAAATTAACTCTATCCCACCTGAAACCAGGACACCCTTCCTCCCTGCTTCTCTTCTTCTCTGGGGGTCCTGGGCAGCCAGGTGCCTTCCCAGGGGCTGCTCTTGCAGTTGTCCAGGGGCTCAGCGGGTTTTTCTTGCTCTCTGCAGAGAAGTATAGTGACACGCAGTCCCCAGCCGGTGAGGATCAGCAGGTGAGCCAGCTCCCCACACCGTGCCATCAGCCGCAGGAGCTGCCTGGAGGCTGGAGAAGGCGGGAGCCCCCAGTCCCGCCTCGTCCGCCGACTGCTCCTCTGCCTCCACACTGCCTGCGTGTGTCCCACTGGGCAGCTGGCTCGCCTGAGCATCACTGAGGGGCCGCTGTGCCACGCAGCTGCCAGACTCAAGGAGGGGATCTGCTGGCACATCGGGTCCAAGGTGGAGGCAGGAGCTGACTCAGGGCCCCCCGCTACCGGCTCAGCCCTCACCGCGGCCACTCTCCTCCCCAGGGTAGCACCGCTGGGAGTCCAGAAGAGGAAAGCCACAAGGGCACGATGGAGACGTGCCACGTGTCTCCACTGCCCGTGCTCTCAGCCCACCCGGCTGAGCGAGGTGAGGAGGGTCCCCGGCAGCAGGATGGGGCAGGGGGCTGGGAGCACGCACTGGCGGCACGAGCCACCCCGCTCTGCGCAGCCTCGCACCCTGTCCCTTGTGCAGGCAATGCCTGCGGAGATGGAGATTGGAGCTGGGGGCTCCCTTTATGCTCCAGAGCAAAGCCATCTAATCATGTGCTTAAGGGCTTTAATGAGGGCCAGTAATGAGCAGCAGTGGTGGGAAGCACCCTGCTGCCTGCCTGCCCCAAGGGCTGGGACTAGGACAGCACCTGGGGGACCTCAGTGGAGCTGCCCGTGTCCCTTTGCCACCTTTTCTCTGCCCTGGCCCAGGGTACCATGTGAGGGGAGTCTTCTACGGCTGGAACCCCACCCACAGCCACCACCTCCCTGGACCCCCATCCTACGTCCCCGTGGAGGACGTCAACCATTCAGGTAGGAGCTGCGCTGGACGGGTAGTGCCCTGTGTGGCCCTCCCAGACCAGGTTGCCCACAAACTCACCCTCCCCTCACCCCAGACTGCTGGCTCCACATCCGACTCTACTACTGCGACGTGCTGGTGAAGGAGGTCACCACCCGCACGGCCGAGGGCTGCCGCATCACCTCCCGCGCCGTGCCGGCTGAGAGCGAGCACCTCTACGGTCCCTTCTGCATGGAGCAGATTGAGTTTCCCCCACCACGAGCACTTGGCAGCAGTGGCCGGGTGGCCAGCATGACTGACGTGCTGGAGAGGCTCCTGCCTCACCTGGAACGTGGCGTGCTGCTGTGGGTAGCACCCGAGGGGGTCTTCATGAAGCGCCAGTGCCAGGGCAGGGTGTACTGGAACGGGCCGCTGGCCCCACACAGGGACTGGCCCAACAAGCTGGAGAGGGAGAAGACCTACAAGCTGCTGGATACGCAGCAGTTCCTGCAGCGTAAGTGCCCACCCGCTGCTTCAGGCACACGGCTCTGCCGGTTCCTGCCCCGGGAGACCCCGATCCCCTTGGGAACGGGGCCAGGTCCTGCCCTGCCCCGGCTGCTCTGGGCTGTGGAGACCCCATGTCCCCTGACAGGGCTGGTGTCTTGCAGAGCTGCGGGGGTACGTGAGCCACGGACAACCTACACCGCAGTACCAGATCCACCTGTGCTTCGGGGAGGAGTACCCCACCAGCACTGGGCACCACTTCCAGAAGCTCATCATGGCCCACGTGAGTACACACTGGGGCTGGTGCTCATGGTGGCACTGATCCGGGTGCTGGGGCTGTCACGGTCGGGGGGTATATGGACCTGTGCCTGTCCTCCATCGGCTCTGTGCCTCCACAGGTGGAGCCGGTCTTCGCACGGGAGCTCTTCCATCACGCCCAGCGCATGGGGCCGACGCTGCTCCGCGACACCCCCCAGCCCTGTGCCCCCGGTGCCTCCAGCCACATCATCCGTGTCCTCAAACAGCTCTGCCAGCCTTGAGCCCGGGCAGGCGAGAGAGGGGAGCCCAGTTGCAACAAAGCCTCCGAGCGGGATGCTCTGCTGTCCCACAGCCCCGCTCCGTCCACGTTCCCCAAACCGGTGTGCACGAGGCGCTCAGCGCTGCGGGGCCAGACACTGGCGGGCACTGGCCAGGGTGGGCAGATGGCTGCCTGCCCCCACGCAGATCATTGTATTTATTCCCCAGGAGCCACCCGGGTGGGATTTGCTGTGTGCTCGTTTGGTGAGCCGGGACAGAGCCGGTTCCGTCCTCGTGCCTTGCACCACCAGGACTCACTCTTTGCGAACCTCAGAAATAAAGGTTGTATTTCAGTACCGCTGGCTCCGATGAGGGGGGCTGGCACTAGTCCAAGGAGGGGGGGGGGGATGGGCAGCCGGGGGGACCTGAGCCCAGACAGAGCCTCATGCTGTGGGCAAAGCTAGCTCAGCCCCAGGTGTGGGGGACAGTGTGAGCTGACCCCCCCTTGCCCCTGCGCTGGCTCAGGTCCCATCCTGCCCCTGGTCCCCAGCCCCTTGGCAGGGGGTGCAGGCAGCGGCGAGGTGCCTGTTAGCTCCTCTGCCAACCCGGCAGCGCAGGAGCCTGTGCCAAAGGCACTCGCTGCCTGTGCCTCAGTTTCCCCCGGTGAGTGGGATGAGGGGGCTTCTGGGAGGTGGGGGCTGTGCTGCTCCCTAGAGGCCATGTCCCCACCTGGTGACCGCAGTGTGGAGACCCGGCGTGGTGCTGGGACCTGGTACAGAGCAGGGATCTGGCATGGTGCACGGGATCCGGCACAGTGCACAGGATCCGGCACAACCCCGAGGCTGGGGGCGGGTGCTGTGGCACTGGGGTGGGGAGCCAAGGGTTGGCAGCAGCCAGCAGGACCCCATTCAGCGCCCCACCATCCCTGGTCAGAGCCTGGCTGCGCACCGTGGGCAAGGCAGGATGAGACCCAGGTTGTGGGAACCTCCCGTGGGAAGAGGAGCTGGGGAAGGCGGGGGCCATGCCCAGGGCTCAGCAGAGACCAGCGCTGCCCACCTCTACCCGGGGGACGCCGTG